AGCTTGAAAATTCTTGACGGAAATATTTTTTATCTCATGAAAGGACTAAGTTATAAGAGTTTTACGAAAGCACTGCAAGTGGCTTTTTTGCACCACCTGGTGGGGTGAAAAAGCCACCCTACGATTTTAGCAAAACATGTTATCAATTTAGGTATTTTTATAGTTTTCCTTTATTTATATGACAAATAGTCTTATTTGAAAAATATTTTAATAAATATGAAAGAGCAAGCAAAATTGAAAATTATATTAAGTTTACCTGTTTTCGATTTGCACTGCCAATTTTTCGTACCTTTTTTAGAAGTTCTCTTTAAGTTTCACCACAGATAACATATTTCGTTGCAACCGTTTATTCATTGTTTATTTTTTTAATGCACTTTGAACTACTTTTTCGTCGTGTTTAATTTATTTTATTAAATAAACACGAGAAATTTTGTAAAATAAGAAGGTTAGTTTAAATAGAAAACAAGTGAATTTCACAAAATATTCAATGGATTTTTTGCCCTGGCTTTTTTACACCCAAGACCAGTTATTAAAAAAGCAAAAATAAATTGTTAATTCAGTTCTATTTCCAAAAATTAACATTGTATACGTTTTCGGTATACTTTTCTCCTTATGTACAAACATTTACTTTTATTATTCGTTCACTTAATCAAATTGTAATATGTTTGAAAAGTTCACCAAAACGTTTTCAAAAAAGCAACAAAAAATTAAAATTACAATAAAAACAATATTAATCTAGGTACAACATTCAAACTAGATTCAAAAGTTGCGTATTACCTAATAGTATTTATATTCTAAACAGCTGATAAATCGGCTTAATAGTTTTTAAATAAAACTCAAATGGCTTTTTTACACCATGGCTTTTTCACCCCACTCTACCCTATCTAATAAATATATATTCGACTCAAGTGAATTAATTTTTTTTTTTTTTAAATTTCTGATTTAAGTAAAAATTTAAAATTTATTTGAATCGAATATTATTTTTCTTTTATGCAAATAAATTTTATATTTTAACAAAATAATTAATTATTCAAGGCAATTACATTTAAACAATTATACTCGTAATGAATAATTAAATACTTTGGTACAGGTAGCTTTTTAGTATTCTATAAAAAAAATATTTTATTCTTGCAAATAAATGGTCCAGTAAATATTTAGTTAGTTCAAAAAAATATTCAAGGTAAGCAAGTGAATCATTTAATTGTATCAAATTAATTAATCAAATTTTGATTTGATTTAAATAAATTTTTTTCAGTTCATTAGAATTATGACTGCATTTCAGCCAAGAGGATATGAATTTATCTTTTCAAATTGATATAATTTACATTGTAAACAAATTGATTTGATTCAAATATAACCGAATATTTGTCTATTATCAAATTAATATTTACTTGAATTAAATAATTTTTATTCACATCAATTAAATGGCATTAGCTTCAAATGCTGAAATTCCTAATTAAAAATTTAAATAATACAACTTAATTGACTTAAATACAAATTATTTACTTCAAGTAAATATTTATTTGATAATAAACAAAAGTAATCGTTTATTTGAATCAAATTCATTTTTTTCAGTGTAGTTTTAAGTTTAAAAATAGTTCATTTTTCAATAATTTCAGATTTTAAATGCTGTAAGCGGTTCTAGACTTTGTTTATTTCTGTGCACAATTGGCTCTTACAGAAATTCGAAGCCAGAAGAAAATTATCTGATTTTATACGACAAAATAAACATTAACACTTTCTAAATTTGAATTATTCAAAATGTTAACTATAATTTGAATTAGTGACGGACTTTTTGCTTTTGAGTTCGTAAAATTTTACTAATAAATTAGCAGAAATTCTACTATCGTTGACTATTTGTTGTTTATTTATGATTTTTTGCTTTTGACTAAATTTGACTCCAAAAAAAAAAAAATAAAAATAAACTTAAAAAAATCAAATTGCTACCAATTGTTAGCAAAAAATGGATATAATCATAATTTGATTCAAAATTTTTGATTATCATTTTGATACAATTGGGTATCAATTTGATATATTTTCAAAAAAATTGTGTAATAAATTAGTAGAAATTCTACTATTTTTGAATATTTTTTTGTTTATTTATGATTTTTTGCTTTTGATTAAACTTTTGACTAAATTTGACTACACTATCAAAATTGCAACAAATTGATAGCAAAAAATGGATCTAATCATAATTTTATCAAAAACTTTTGGTATCATTTTGATACAATTGGGTATCAATTTGATATTTTCAAGAAAATTGTGTAATAAATTAGTAGAAATTTCACTATTTTTGACTATTTGTTGTTTATTTATCATTTTTTATCTCCGACTAAACTTTTGACTAAATTTGACTAATAAATAGTAATTTCTATTATTTCTTTAGTAAAATTTACTAATTCAAAAACAAAAAATCAGTGACTAATTTAAATTAATGAACATTTTTAATTTTTACTAATTACTAAATCAGGGTTGCCACAGGTCAGGGAAGTCAGGGAATTCAGGAAAAAGTCAGGGAAAGTAAAATTGGTCAGGAAAGTCAGGGATTTTTAGTAAAAGTACTGGAAAAAATTGAATTTTAAAAATTAATGAAAAAACTCTGAATTTTGATGTTTTTTTTTGTTTGCCTCGTAAATTATGAAATTACCACGAATTTTAATACAAAACCTTAAAATTTTTCTATTTCAGACAATAATTTCTGTTTAAATAACTTAATTTTACAAGAACTATCATAAAATTATGACTTAGAAATTATTTAATGAATAATTTTTACAATTTTCATAAATACTAGATTGATAATAAAAGAATTTTAGTTAAAAATACTAAAAAAAAATTGAAGTTTGGAAAAGTTACAAATAATTCCAGAAATTCAATTATTTTCAAAAGTAATAAAATTTTTCGCAGAAATTCAATTATATTCAAAAATTAAAAAAAATTCTGGTCATTTCAATTATATCTTTAAAAATAATAAAATTCTTCTCCAAAATTCAATTATGTTAAAAAATTTTCTAAAAATTCTCGTCAAAAATTCTATTATCTTTATAAATAATAAAATTCTTTAATATTCAATTATTTTAAACAATTTTTTAAAAATTCTCATCAAGATTTCAATTATTGTAATAATGAATAAAATTGTTCTTCAAAATTCAATTATTTAACAAAAATTTGAATAAAATTCTTGTTAAATTTTCACAGGAATTCAATAATTTATAAAATATTTAATAAATTTCTTTAAAATAATTCAATTATTTTCATAAATAACAAAAAATTTCACATGAATTCAATATTTTAATATACAAAATTTCAGAAAATTTTTCGAAAAATATCAATTATTATTTAAAAAGATTTTTATAAAATTCGTCGCATGAATTCAATTATTTAAAAAAAAATTTAACAAAGTTGTTTTCAAGGATTCAATTATTTTTATAAATAATAAAATTCTTCACTGAAATTCAATTATTTTAGAAAAATTTTAATCAAATTTTTGGTAAAAGTTTTAATTATTTTCATAAATAATAAAACTTATCGCAGGATTTTAATTAATTTTTGATACAATATTTTAATCAAATATTCCTCGATAAATGTAATTATTCTTAAAAATTTCATTGAAATTTGTCAAAATAATTTAATTATTTAGAAATTTGTTGATAAAATTCTTTATGAGAATTCAATTTTAACAAACATTCAGTTATTTAATAAATTGTTTATTTTTTAATTTAAATAATTGAATTTTTCTAGAATTTTCTAACAAAAATTGATTTAAAAATGAATTACCGATAGTAATCGATTTACTATTTATGAAAATAATTGAATTCTTGCGAAGGATTTTATTAGGATTTTTGTAAATAATTTATTTTTTTTGGAAAAATTTGATGGTAATTTAAATTATTACAAAACATGAAGAAGGCGATAACTTCGAGTCGAAGACTCGGAGTGATCGCCTTCTTTATGTTTTGTAATAATATTCTTATAAATTGTTGAATTTCAAAAAAGTTTGAATTTGAATGTGTTAAAGAATTTCAATTCCTACGGAAAAATAATAATGATTAAATAGTTATTTAAAAAAGAAATTATTCATGTTTTTGAATAATTTTACAATAATTAATGAAATTTGTAAATAAATGTAATAGAACATTTTTTTGAGTTTCTAATAATTTTTAGAGTGAATCAGAATATTTTTTAGGTTATTCAGAGAAAAAGTGAGAATTTTGTCTCGAAATCAGGGAAAAGTCAGGGAAAAATAAAATTAAATATTTGTGCGGCAACCCTGTAAATTCTTTAGAAAGTTACCTACACTAAAAAGATTTATTTGATTCAAATAAACAATAATTACTTATTCTAAATAAAAATTTATAATAAATAAATGAGACTTGAAATAAAAACTATTTATAATTTATAGTACAACAAATATTTAATTGTATCAAATAATTTTTATCTAATCCAATTAAATTCTATTTGCTTCAAGTAAATATTTATTCGATAATATAGACAATAGTAATTGCTTATTGGAATCAAATTTAAATGTTTCCTAGTGTACTGTAAATATACTTCAGGACACACACCTATATGGAGGTTAACAAAATAATTATAATAAGTAATAACAACAATAATAATAATAATAATAATAATAATAATAATAATAATAATAATAATAATAATAATAATAATAATAATAATAATAATAATAATAATAATAGTAATAATAATAATAATACAGTAATCAAAAATATGAAAATAAAAAATGGAATTAATTCGAAAGTCAATTCAAAAAACAACAGAAAAAAAACAGCAAAAACATACGATATTAATTAAGCACGAGGGCAAATATTTTTCCAAACTAGAAAATTCGATTCGAACAGAGAGAAATATTTCCTGCACGCACGATTATTGAAATGAAATAAAATATAAAAAACAAATATGTCGTCCCAAGGGAAAAAGGAAAAACAGAACAGTACCAAAAAAAGAAAGAAAAAAAGGAAAAATTGAATTCGGATTAATACCTGTTAGAAAGGCGACATCATCGACATCCTGTTCGCTCATTGCGAAGCGATTAGGTGGCGGTCTTCGATAGACGAATCCCTTTACCTCGCCGTCTGTCGAGGCATACGAGATCTTAATAAGGGGCTCTCTCTGTTCAGCCAGAATTCGCGATATTTAGGGGAACGCGAAGCAACAAACAGCAAAAAATATCAAATTTCCAAAATTCCCTTTTTATTTTTTTCTCTCAACCTGCCTTCATACACGAGGACGGAGCAATGCGTGCGTGAATAAAAATCCGCCACTTCTCTCGATGCGAACGAAATATTAACTAAATATATATATTTATATGTGTATATATATATATATATATACCTATATACAGTGGCACTTTTTCCGAAATCACGACTAATAAAATTTTTCCAAGAATACTATATAATATATGTGTGAGAAATCAAAAAAAAGAGCCGACACTTATTATTATTTGTAATATTGTTTAACAATAACTTGATGAGGCCGCGCGCCACGACGCGTCTTTGTATTTTATTGGCATTTCGGATAGCGTGGGTTATACCCGTGATGTCAGGCAGAAATGGCGACGCATCCAAAGCTCGTAAAGCCCCAATTCTCGGGGGTTGATTTTCCTCCACTATTCCTTTAACCACCCCCGCCAGAGCGTGTACCAACTCGCGAGAGTAGCATGGCGCCATCTTCTCGTGCAAAGGGGCATTTCATTTTTATCCACACACGAGTTTTAACAAATCAATGCACCATCATCTTCTCATGATAACTCCTTATTACTATTATATATATATGTATACTATGCCTCACAATAAAAGAAATTTCGAAAAAAAAATTCCCACCCCTAATATTTTTTTTTCCCCTTCAATCGTTGATCATAAATGTTGTGACTTTTTAAGGGTTGCCACAAAAATTTTATTTTGATTTTCCCTGCGATTTAGAAAAAAAAAAAATTCCACCCTGATATTTTTTTTTCCCTTCAATCGTTGATCATAAATGTTGTGACTTTTCAAGAGGGTTGCCACAAAAATTTAATTTTGTTTTTCCCTGCTAATTTTCCCTGATTTGGGGACAAAATTTTGACTTTAGACCCTATAAAAGAATATTTTGATTCACTCTAAAAATAATTAGATAAAAAAAAAATATTCTATTTGGATTCATTGACGAAATTCATTGATTGGAAAATTATTCGAAAACATCAAGAACTTCTTTTTTAAAAAAATATTTAATCATTTTATTACTTTTTCATAGGAATTAAGATTTTCAAAAAATTAAAATTTAAACCTTTTTTAAATTCAATTATTTCTATAGAAATTCACGCTATAATGCTTTTATTCAATTATTATCTAAATTTTTATCTGAAATTAATTTTTAAAGCATTTTTTGTTTTAAAATTCTACGAGAATTCAATTATTTAAATACAAAAATAAATAATTTATTGAATAATTGAATGTTTCTTAAAAATGATTTCTTTTGACGAATTTTAATAAAAATTTTTAGAATAATAATTACATTTTTCGATAAGGAATAATTAGATTAAAATTGTATATTAAAAATAATTAAAACTGTTCGATGAATTTTAATATTTATGAGAATAATAGAATTCTTGCGAAGTAATTAATAAACATTTTGTAAATAATTGAATTCCTGTAAAATTTTTATTATTTATGAAAATAATACAATTCCTGTGAAATTTTTATTATTTATAAAAATAATTGAATTCCTATGAAATTTTTATTATTTATGAAAGTAATTGAATTCCTAACAAGAATTTTATTATTTATGGAAATAACTGAATTCCTAAAAAGAATTTTATTATTTATGGAAATAATTGAATTCCTAAAAGTAATTTTATTATTTACGGAAATAATTGAATTCCTGTGAAATTTTCATTATTTATGAAAATAATTAAATTCCTAACAATAATTTTATTATTTATGAAAATAATTGAATTTCTAACAAGAATTTTATTATTTATGGATATAATTGAATTCCTAAAAGTAATATATGAAAATAATTGAATTCCTGTGAAATTTTATTATTTATGAAAATAATTGAATTCCTAACAAGAATTTTATTATTCATGGAAATAATTGAATTCCTAAAAGTAATTTTATTATTTACGGAAATAATTGAATTTCTAAAAGTAATATTATTATTTATGACAATAGTTGAATCCCTGAAAAAATTGTATTATTTATGAAAATAATTGAATTCCTAACAAAACTTTTATTATTTATGAAAATAATTGAATTTCTAACAAGAATTTTATTGTTTATGTAAATAATTGAATTCTTTGGAACGATTTTACCAGAATTTTTTAAAATATTTGTATTCCTAACAAGAATTTTATTATTTATGAAAATAATTGAATTCCTAACAAGAATTTTATTATTCATGGATATAATTGAATTCCTAAAAGTAATTTTATTATTTATTGAAATAATTGAATTCTTGGGAACGATTTTACTAGAACTTTTTAAAATAATTGAATTTCCAAGAAATAATTTATTACTTTTAAAAATAATTGAATTCTTTTGATGAATATTAATAATTACGAAAATAATTGAATTTTGCAAAGAATTTTATTAACATTCCTAAAAATAATTGAATTACTAGAAAAATTTTTTTTATTAATCAAGATAATTGAATTCAACTAGTTTTAACCGAATTGAAAATAGATTTAAAAAAAAACAAATGTTGATACCTTTTCAAAATTCAATTATTTCTAAAATTCATGCCATGTAATGATTTAATTTTCAATTATCTAAAATTCATTTTTAAATTATTTTTTATATAAAAATTCTACGATAATTCAATTATTTAAATACAAAAATAAATAATTTATTGAATAATTAAATGTTTCTTAAAATTGATTTCTTTCGACGAATTTTAATAAAATTTTTAAGAATAATAATAAATTACATTTTTCGATAAAGAAAATTAGATTAAAATTGTATTAAAAATAATTAAAACTGTTCGATGAATTTTAATATATTATAAAGATAATTGAATTCTTAAAATCAATTTTAATATTTAAGAAAATAATTAAATCCGTTTAAAAAATTTTTATTATTTATGAGAATAATAGAACTCTTGAGAAGAAATTTATAAAAAATTGAATTTCAGAGAAGAATTTTATTATTTATAAAGATAATTGATATTTTTATGAAATTTAAAAAAAAATATTTAAATAACATAATTATATTTCTGCAAAGAATTTTATTCCTTTTGAAAATAATTGAATTTCTCTAATATTGTTACTGTAATACTTCTAAAAAATTATTTTAATCATTTCAATTTAATTATTATTTTCCAGAATTTTTAAGTAAAATTCTTCTTTAAATTAATTATTTTTTATAATTTTTGAAAATGTTCTTTGATAATTTTTATAAATACCGAGATAAATACGTTTAATTACAATTCAATTTTACAAAATTTCAATTATTCGAAAAATAATTGAATTCTTTTAGAAAATTTTATTAAAATAGTAGATATTGTAAATCATTGAAATTGAGGGAAATTTTTGAAAATAAATTGAAATTTTGACAAGAATTTTATTAAAATTTTATTTTAGAAAATAATTGAATTTCGGAGAAGAATTTGATTATTTTTAAACATAATTGAAATTTTGATTTTTTTTTAGTGGTTTTTAACTAAAATTCTTTTATAAATCCATTATTTTTAATAATTATTTAAATAATATTAAAAAAAATTAACTAATTTCAGAAGAATTTGAATTATATTATTTACATAATTATTAATAATTCATATTTTCCCTTTATGTGGCGAAATTTCCACCGAAAATTTGCAACATAAATAGCTGCTAATTACCATTTTGGAGATAATAATTTATAATAATAATTGCGCCATAAATTTATTGTTTTCATATATTGATGATTAGAATTAAGCCATGAATTGTTAGTGATTTTGAATGCAAGTAATTGGAGCAATGTTGATTGTATATTATAGCGCCATCGTTTGATATGAAAATTTAGCGTGGAGTGAGAATTGATTTTTATTTTCTCAGTGGGGAAGTGTGAAAAGTCGGTAGCGTCAAATTCTACCTCCAACTCTGTTGGAGCTCCGTTGATACAATTCAATTGATCAATAACTAACTCAAGTGTAATTATAATTGTAGAGGTATTTAATTGGATTAACGGGTTAGTGACTACAAATAAACTTGGCTATTCAGTTCGTCTCAATTACATCGTATATACACATGCACAATAATATACATACCCACACACTATAAAATGCATTTTTTTTCCAAAAAGTAGATATTTCCTTTTTAATTACCATACACATTTGTAATTTATAGTGTAGTTAATAATATTGTTTACTTTAACTATTACAAAATTTTTAATTATGCATAATACTATTTATAAGTTATAAAATTAGTTTCAATATTGCTTCTGGATTATTTGATATAATTTCTCTTTCCATTATAATATTTTTAAAATTAAAAATATTAAATATTAATATTTTAAATATTATAATATTAAAATATTAAAATATTAAAATATTAAAATATTAAAAAAAAATAGTTCACCCAAAATAATTCTAAAATCCAACTGTGTAAACAATTCAATTTTACAAAATTCCAAACAATATTTATAAAGAAATTCGTTTTGATTTTTTCCATCATCTTCCAAAAATCGAAAAAAATTTCTTTATAAATGTTTCTATTTTTAATTTTAATTCATAAAATTCAATTATTTTTGGGAATTTTTAAATAATATTCTTTTTTTTGAATTAATAATTGTTAATAACAACTATTTTCTAGAATTTTTAAACAAAATTCTATCTTAAGTCAAATATTTTTAATAATTCTTGAACAAGTTCTTTAAGAATTTATTTATTTTAAAAACAAAAAAAAAGTTCACCTAAAATAATTCTAAAATACAACAATTAAGTTTTACGAAATTCCAACCAATTTAAAAACATGAATATAAAATTTTTCAAAAAGCTGAATTTTAAAGAATTTTAAATTTTCTTTATAGGTCTAATTCGAATTTTCTAAAATTTCCATTAGAAACTTTAAGCAAATTCATTTATTTTTTATAAAGTTATAAACGAAATTTAGTAACTTCAATAATTTTTGGGAATTTTTAACTAAAATTAATTCTGAAATCCAACTGTATAAACAATTTAATTTTACAAAATTCCAAACAATTTCTAAACAAATTCAAATAAAAATTTTTCAAAAAACTTTATTTTTTCAGTAAATTTAAATTTTATTTAGGTACAATTTATTTTTCCCAAAAAAATCAATTTTAACTATTTTGAAATTCAATTATTTATAAAAATTGTAAACGCAATTCATAATATTCAATTATTTTTGGCAATTTTTAAACTAAAATTCTTCTCTGAATTAATAATTGATAATAACAATATTGTTAATAATTATTATTTTCAAGAATTTTTAACCAAAATTCTTCTCTAAATCAATTATTTTTAATCAGTTTTGAGAAAGTTCTTTGAGAATTCAATTATTTAAACAAAAAAATATTTCACCTAAAATAATTCTAAAATACAACTGAATAAACAATTTAATTTTACAAAATTGAAAACAATTTCGAAACAAATTCAAATAAAAATTTTTCAAAA